GCTAACAAGACAGCAACAGGTTTTGGAATCAATAAAAGATCAGTCCATCGAAAAAGCTTTAGAAGAAATTAAATCAGAAAAATTAGAAATAACTGTGAAGCAAGATAACAATGGTTTTGAAGAAAATAAAAGAGAAAATTCGAGCATGAAACATCAACTCTATAAATTTTCTTCTGATTTTAAAAAGTTTATTGGATTTATCGGCCCTGGTTACGGTAATGTTCGACAAACTCTTTAATCGCGGACATTTCTAATAATTGGTTAAAAAAAAAACCCCCTTAGTTATCGCGGTTGGATATCTTGACCCCGGCAATTGGGCGACTGATTTATCTGCTGGATCTCAGTTCGGATATACTCTACTATTTATAATTTTCTTCTCCAACTTAATTGCAGTTTTGATGCAAGCTTTATCTATCAAGTTGGGTGTAGTCACAGGAATGGGTGAGCATGACACTCCAAATCCTTTGCGCGAAATTTTTATGATCACTGACTTCATTTATTTATTAAATAACTAAACTAGACTTGGCGCAAGCTTGCCGAGCTTATTATTCAAAATATGTAAATTACTTTCTCTATATACTATGCGAACTTGCCATAATAGCATGTGACCTGTCCGAAGTTATCGGTAGTGCGATTGCACTAAATCTTCTATTTAATATTCCGCTTGCATGGGGAGTTGCTATTACAGCGTTAGATGTGATATTAATATTGTTTTTATATAAGGATAGTGATATGAAATCTGCACATATATTAGAATCCTTGGTCATGTTATTAGTAGGCGTCGTTGGGTTTTGCTTTGTCCTGGAATTGGTATATGCTAAACCTAATAGCTTAAAAGTATTAAAAGGTTTCTTGCCTACTTCTGGAATATTTACAAATGGAGCCCAATTATACAACACAGGTATAACATAATTTCATTTAATTTTTTGATCTTACAAATTTAAATTTATTTGTTTATATTCTTTTAACTTTAATAATAAAAGTGTCAATAGTGGGCGCTACGGTGATGCCGCATTGTATATATTTGCATTCTCATCTAGTCAAAGCTCGGAAATTCCGAGAAGAAGATCAAGGGATTAAGTTCAAGTTCCAAAATCGTGATGGAATCCTAGAAAGAAATGACGCTTCGACAAAAATTTTTTTCAAGAAGATTGTCCAAAGCACCATATATTTTTCAGTGATCGATTCAACTGTAGCATTGACCTTTGCATTATTCGTAAATTCAGCAATTTTGATAGTGTCAGCTGCAAATTTTTATTACGTTCCATCACCACCAGTAGTGGCAAGTCTATTTGATGCATACAACTTATTGAAATCTTACTTGGGGATAGCGGCAGCAACAATATTTGCAGTAGGTTTGTTATTCGCCGGGCAAAGCTCGACGCTTACAGCTACAATTGCAGGTCAAATTGTGATGGAAGGATTTACCGATTTGAGAATGAAACCTTGGCTGAGAAGGTTGCTGACGAGATTACTTGCCATTGTCCCGGCAATGACAATTGTGATATTGAAAGGAGAATCAGGATTAAATAATTTATTGGTGGCGAGTCAGGTAGCATTGAGCATACAACTACCATTCGCCATAGTTCCTTTAATATGGTTTACTAGTCGCAAGGAATTTATGAAAGTTGACGTCAGAGAATTGGCAAAGAGAGAGTTAGATGATGAAGAAGTTATGATCAATGTGAATGAAAGCGAGAACCAAGTCGAAGAAAAAATATCTTTTAAACGAAAATTGTCCGGATTAATTTACTCCGACTCTCCAAAAAAGGAATCCTTGCAAAGAAACAATGGAGGCGATTTAATTACTAGCGATGAAAGATATACTTTAGAATTTTCCAATTCGTATACACTTATAATTTTATCTATCCTTGTTGGCTTTACGATTATTTCTTTAGATTTATATCTAGTTGCTGATGTTATTATTGGCGCTGTAAGTTAAAGTTATGATTTGTTAGATAAAATAAAATAGAACCTTTTGTGATATTTACAAATTGTAAAAACTCGACAAGAAAAATTTTTATATTAGAATATTAAACAATAATTCAAAATAAAGATATTATTTTAATTAAATTAGACATAAAAAATCTTATTCATTAATTACAAAATAGATAATTTTACATTTAATAATGATATCTGGAAATTATTTTTAATTAAGATTGCAAAATTTTATATTTTAATATTTCATTTTGATAAAAAAAAATATAAAAAAAAAATTACAATACAGTAAATAATATATTTTAATATTTAATAATTTCAATTTTTTTTTAAATTCACAATCATGTTATTATGGTTATAATCCATCTACCATCTAACACTACTTCTCTAATAAAGTATTTTCTTTATATATTAAGGGATATTATTTAACTTCAAATAAAAATATTTTTGAATAATATACTTGATAATAATAATATTTATAAAAATTACTAGTAAATAAAATGTTTATAAATTGAATATATACAAGCAAACTCAATAAATTATTTTCTTAATAAATTAATTTTGGTCAAAAATTAGCTATAAATCAATTAACATATAAAATCACACTATTTTTAATAAATTAATTTTATAAAATAATTATTTTAAAATTTATATTGATTACAAATTATATAATTTTCTATTCTCTTTCTCTAATCTTTTTATTTTTCATTTTATTTTTTGTTTCTTTTATTTTGTCTCTTTACACTTTATTTACCCTTTTTCTTTCTTTCCTTTTACCTTTTATTTTCTATTTCTTTTATTTTTTTCTTTAATTTTTTTATTTCTTTTATTATTTTTTTTATATTTTATTTATTCTCTCTTTTCTTTTTTATTTCCTATTTTTTTTTTCTTTTATTTATTTATTTATTTATTTTTTTAACCTTAGGTCAGGCTAGGTACATGTATTTTATTAAACATTTGTATACTGTACATTTTAAATGATTCGCTAAAACCAAGACTTTACCTAACTCACTTATTGCTATTTTATCTTAATATACCAAAACTCTAAGTGCAACTTCAGAAATGATTTATTACTTCGTTAATGATTTAGATAAATACCCTTCCAACCTTTAATATTATTACCCACAGATCACTACTACAGATCACTATCCGTTGTTCTGATCAAGCTTAAATCCTAACTACTTCATTCCATAAGTAACACCTTTGAGTAAAATTTTTTTCAAGCTTTTATTTTCTTGAGTTCCTTCCTCTGGTAGAGGATCTTTACTTTTGAGAACTGATGGTTTTAAGCTATGTGTATTTGAGGGTCGATTGATTTTTTCTATTCTGCAGATCCCCTGTAAATATTTCCATTTGATTATATACTTGCATCTTTTGTATCAAATCTTTTTCCTTATTTGTTTGCATACTCTTCTTTGCATCTTTAACATCCATCTTTTGCCTTATTACCAATTCTTTTTTCATGGTATTTCAGATTTGCTATTTTTAGGATTAGGTCTCTTCTTATTAGTCCTATGCAAAAGTTTAGAGTGTCCTGATTAGTTTTTGAGATCTGTTCTATCAGTTTGAAGATCCATTTATCCATCTCAGCCATTTCTTCTTTGTTATGGATAATCAACCTTGCATGTTTTTCTTGCTTTTTTTTTCTTCTTTTGTAAGAGCTTTCTGAAGTCTCTAAGGATCCCATCTTGTTCTTTATTTCATGCTTCCTATAATTATTTTTTGTATGTTGTATACTCTAATAAATATTTGAAAGTTTCACTTTGCTGGCTACATGCAATATACTTCACTTGTTTGTAAAGGTTGGGCCTTCTAGTTGCCAGCTTGTTCAGAGTTGATAGCTCATTATTCATTAGTTTTATAATAAAGCTTTTTCACTGCAATTGTTTAAAGGAAGTGTCCCAGGTAGGTCTTTCTTTTATTCTTTTTCATATAAGGTTCCAGATATGATCTTGCTATTTTATAATTTGGTGGCTTCATCTTTTTTCAGTTCTGTTTTGTTGTGTCCACTGAAAAGCAGTTGTTTTATTGTTTACTTTTTTGACAAACTGTCTTATTGGGTTATCCAGCATCTTTTATTGCCATCTAATTTCCGTGATTATCTTGTATGAGGTTAGTTCTTTTCATTCTATTGTTGGAAGTTTCAAAGCTTTTTTGGCTAGGACATCTGCTTCTTCATTGTAAGGATCATTGAAATGTGCTTTAACCTTGATAAGTTGCAGGTTTATAATCTTTTTCTTTACTAATTCTAACATTCATATTTACAGAAACCAGTTTTTTTTCTTTTCCCATCTTTTTTAAGTTTGCTTTAGATCTTTTCTTTCTATTGTTTTCCACTTAGA